TTTGTAAATCTATTACCGACATCTTGGATGAATCTGACTTTCGCAGTGTCAGAAGGAAAGAAGGGAAAGATGACAATACAGTGCATTGGGACCAAGGGCTAGCTCCAGGGAAAGTTCATACTTCATTGTGAATAAAATTTTAATGATGAACCAATAGTGGAATCCATAGGCACCCATATGCTTTCTGTCTTTGTTATTTTATGTTTTACTAGGCTAGCATATTTCTCATATGTATAGAAAAACGTGTCTTATTTTGGGTACCAAATTTTTTTTTTCTTAGAATAGACATTTTTTTTTTTTAAAGATTTTATTTATTTGACAGAGAGAGACACAGCGAGAGAGGGAACACAAGCAGGGGGAGTGGGAGAGGGAGAAGCAGGCTCTCCGCAGAGCAGGGAGCCCGATGCGGGGCTCGATCCCAGGACCCTGGGATCATGACCTGAGCCGAAGGCAGACGCTTAACGACTGAGCCACCCAGGCGCCCCAGAATAGACATTGTTGTGTGTGTGTCTATGTGTGTATCAAACACTTCAAATAAATAACTCTTAAAGCTGTGTTAGGTTGTAAATTTTAATTGTCATCAATCAATCTTGAAGTCTGCTTCTTGGGTTAAAAATACTGTTTTCCATGTAAGCCACGAAGTAAATGCTTTCACTAATCAGGGACGCAGTACAACATTGTTGTTAGCCCCGTATTGCTAGGGCTCTAGAATTCTAATCCCAGCTTTACCATTTACCAACTAAATGGCCATGGGCAAATTACTAGCCTCACTGAGTTTCAGTTTCTTCCTTCATGACAAAAAGGGAATAATACCCCATAGAGCTCTTTGTAAGAGTCCAATGTGATAACATACAGTTTGTAAATTTTAGTGCTTTTCCTTCCCATTCTTAGTGTCCTTTTGTTATTTCACTGCTTTCCTCACTGTATGTTCATATAGAAGGGTATATTGTTCTGCCCTGTTACGGTTGAGAGAATACTTTTAAAAATTAATGATGATTCTAGACACCTGAACATGGTATCTTCACCCATGAATTTCCACTTCACTCTTTTTCATGCTGAATATAGTTTAATTCACATCACTTTGGATATAGTTTAATTGACATCAATTCTTTACTATGTAAAAATAACTTGTTATTCTTCTTTTTCTCTCTTATACATAGATATCTCTCAGACAAAAGGGAAAAAGACTTTGGGATTGATAAAGTGACTCTGTAAAGGATGGGGCAGGGGAAACACTTTACAAATCTCGGTAAAGTGTTGGTCATTGTCCCCCATTGTTCCTGCACACGTTCAGGTGTTCCTCGAATCCATTTCACTATTTCGTGTCTCACGGCCTCTCTCTAAATGTAGAGCAGTTGGAACCGACTTATCTAGACTGACTCAGCTCATTTACTACTCTTCACTAACAGTTTCCTGCCTGCTACATGTCCCCACCCCTGCTGCCCCCTCCCCAGAAGAGATCATTTCCTCTATTCTGCTCTATTTTGCCTCAAACATCCTTCTCTTATGGTTCTTTGAAGCATGGTTTTACTTGCCATTTGTCTTTGTTCACTGGATTCTAGATCCCAGAGTTTACTGCCATGAGCTGTGTTTCATCCTCTTGGAGACATTCTCATATGGGTGTTTCTCAGCACAAGGTTTACTGCCAGATCTAGGGTCAGGAGCTCCTGCTCTGCCCTCCATCTAATTACACGGAGCCATCTACAACTGACACCATATATACTTATTTTATATGCAGTAGTATAGCATCATGATTTGGAATCAAATGATCTGATCCTGCATTCTAACTTTACCAACTTACCTTTTGGTTGATTACTTACTACTTGATATTTGAGCAAGTTACTTCTCTGTGCCTCAACTGTCTCATCTCTAAAATGAGGTGATGGCAATGCCTCCTTGTGGGGATATTCTAAAGTTTAAAGGGGACATCCATATGCTTAGAACAGAGCTTGTCACATAGGAAACATTCAATCAATGTTAGATACCATTACATTTAATAATAATTGTAATCTAAATAACTTAGGTAGGAAACTAACAGTCAGTAGATCTAATTTCTCTATTTACAAAGTGTTTTAAGGAAAGATGGCCAGCATGAATAATCATCATCCATTTATAGACAAGTTAATGTGGAAGCTCAAAACAGTTAAATTTGTTTTGAGGAAAAGTTTTAAAAGGCTTCTCTTCTGTATAAATTCTCCCTGAATCTCATCTTTTAAGAAACAGAGATTATACATTTACTGAGGAAGAAAAGTCCATGTGTTACTAATTTTCCATTTCTTTTTCTTTTTTTTTTTTTTTTAAAGATTTTATTTATTTGACAGAGAGAGAGATAGCAAGAGCAGGAACACAAGCAGGGGGAGTGGGAGAGGGAGAAGCAGGCCTCCTGCAGAGCAGGGACCCTGATGCGGGGCTCGATCCCAGGACCCTGGGATCATGACCTGAGCCGAAGGCAGACACTCAACGACTGAGCCACCCAGGCGCCCCTTTCCATTTATTTTTCAAAATGTAAATTATATCCTTTAGGACAGAGCTCTATGGGCCTGTACTAATTTCTATGGCACTCTCGTATTAATTTCCATGGCTCTCTGAATTGGAACTAATTTTTAAAACCTTGATGCAGTGTTTTAACTGAGCTTCAGCAGAACACCAAAATTGCCTTCACTAGTGTTAGATCACAGAGTCAAGGGAAAGCAGCATCTACGGACTCACAGGGAATATTTCTCAAAGAATTAAGGGGTTGCCTTTTTCACTAATTGGCTAATTCACTTATTGTTCTTTGACTTCACATGTCGTGGGATCAAATCCATTAGAAGTATATTAGATCGACTCACCAAGGAATATGAGTTTTTCTCACTCCTTTATCCTCTTCAAGTAAATTAATAATGAATGTCCAGTCACCAAAATTATAGCTCACTCGAGGTTATTTTTACCATGCTGAACTATTTTCATAGTATATCTAGTCAAATTGGAAATTGGAAAAATGTGCTGTTAAGGGGATTTTCAAGCACAGTTTAATAATTCAGCTACCTGTACCCCTGGGCAAAATAAATAGCTAGCTGACTGCTTGTTGGCAAAGTCACAGCCAATTACATTATTTGAAACTTGAAATGCTCCTCCCCTTCCTCCGAAAATGTTGGAATTATCTGTAGGAGAGCAAGGGGCTCAGGACACGGCTGCAGCATTATCTCATTACCATACCTGCCTTTTCTTCTGGGAGAGCTGTGTAAGTTTGGTAATTCATTTTGTTTTGCTTTTGTTCATTTGTTTTTTGGAAGGAAGAAAATAAGAAGCACACCCATTGTAAGTGGGCTACTGTCATCTCCCCCAACTCTATACAGCAACTCTAGTCCCAGATGTTAGATGAGAAGGGTTACTGCTATAAGTTTTAAACACAGCTAAATAAATTCTCTCGAATATCTATTTAGTATGATTCCAAAGAGCAGGGCTAATGGTCAGTATTGACCTTTGTAAAGCATTGACCTTTAATTTATTCTTTTTTTTTTTTTGAGCACCTTTTTTGTGAGAGGCACCGTTCCCATCAGTAGTGACGCATCAGTGAATGAAATTGCCAAAGATCTCTGCCATTTTAGGTTAGATTCCACTGCTGGGAGTGGGAACAGGATAGGGAAGCGGACAATATATGACAGATTTAATGAGTAATTCTTTGGGTATGTTAGAAAGTGATACACACTATGGGAAGAGGAGACCAGGGCAAAGTGAATCCGGAGTAAGGGAAGAGGTTGCAGCTTAGAGTGGTTTTAGGTGATGTGGTAGTACCACAGAAATGGTGCAAGGCACACCCAAGTAGGGACGTCAAGGGGTGGGGAAATGAAGCTGCATATATTTCTATTTTCAGCATCGAAGACCTATCTAATATTAAAAATATATATCATTCTTTCCTTCTCCCACCTGCTTCAGTGCAATTCCTGGCTTTGTCTCTCAGTGCTGGAGATGAAATAAATCATAAAGGAAATGACACGGCTGGACTGATCAGATCTTGAGATCTTGCCTAATTTAAGCTCTATGGGTAGCATATTTCCCATTAATTGTCCCAATTTGGAGTGGATGGAGGAAGAAAGCATTAAGTGAGATATGCAGTTCAACAAGCTTTTATTGGTACCTCTTCTTTGCCTGGGAAGGCTTTATTCAATTTAAGTGATACAAAGAGGCAGAAGTTCTTCTGGAGCTTTCAACTGTGTTGTAGAACAAACCACAGCTAGACGAATATCTAAAAAAAAAAAAAAAAATGAGGCAATGCTAAGCAAATGTTGTGTGTACATTCGTGTGTGGAAAGGATAATTATCACTGTAATCTGGAGTTGGGCCAGGGCTTTCTGGAAAAGTGAGACCAAGGTAGACCTTTGTCAGCTTGAGTGTGGTGTTTATAAAAGTGGAAGGGGCGAGGGCATCCCATGAAGACACAGAAGCAGAAAGGTCAGGGCTCCTGGGATGGTTTAAGGGAGAGGTCTGGCCGGGGGGTCTTTATGATTAGGAGTAATTAGCCACTAGCCTAATATAAGGATCTCCACACTACAAAGTCTTGGATGGGGACGGGGGGCCACCTCTATTAAACAGACTGCTGTAGGGACACAGAGCTGGACCAGAGGAGCCCAGTTACAGAGGTGATTCTATTACCTTTTACCTTAGAAAGTAAAATGGAGACTAAAGATGATTACCTCAATTACATGGATATATCCTACTAGTCTAAAAGGATGGCCTGACTTCTTTCTGTCACTATGGTCATAGACTTCGGGCTTGAGTCAGGAGAAAGTTTAAATACAGGGATTGCGCTGGAGAGAGAGGAAAGAGAAGGGGAGAGCTGTTAGGAAGAAGGCACACCCCTCCTCCCTCCCCCCCACCCCACCCCAGGCAGGGGGCTGAGCAGGTGCTCTGGGGAACGTTTTCCCAGGCAACCCGCGGCGGGTCCTCAGCAAGCTCGGCAAGCTCAGCAAGCGGAGGATACCACGGAATACTCCATTCCTGCAGGCAGCCCTAGGAGGCTGGTCACTCTCCGGCCAGCCGGGAGCTCTGTCCACGTGGAGAGGAAAGGAGTCGGGTGGGTCTTGAGGGCCTCTGGGTCCTCCAGTCAGGCCTTCGTCGATCCCTCCCCACCCACCTCCAGGTCGTTGACCGACTCTCGCTAATAACCACCGCTAGACGTCCCCCAGCGAGGAGCCAGCCCCCCGCGGAGGAGCCTGCCCGCCTCGCAGCCGCCACAAAGACCCGGAGAAGTGGAATTTCACTTCGAAACTCCGTGCGGCGCGACGGGCAGCGCTGGGCATGCTCAGTAGGCGCGGCGCGTCTGGCTGCCGCTGGCGCTGCGCTGGCCCCGCGCGGAGGGCTCCAGGGCTGGCGCGGGAGTCCACCCCGCCTTCGCCGCCGCCGCTGCGGGCTTCCAGAAGGCCGCGCAGTAGCCGCCGCCGAGCGCCTCGCCCCTGCCCTGCTCCGCCTCCCTCCCAGCCACCGCCTCCTCCCCCTCCTCCCCCTCCTCTCTCCCTCTCTTCGGGAGGCGAAGCTGGTGGGGGCTTCTGCGGGCGCCACAGACCGCTCTGCAAACCCAGCCGGGACCCAGAATGAAACCCGGAGACCAGAGGACCCTCGGCGGTGGCTCTTTCTAATCACACTTTGCCTCGAGTGGGGTCGTGGCGGAGTTCCTCCTCCACCGCTCAATGCAAGCACTATGCGGACAGCAGTCGGCTTCCTTGCGCTGTGCCTGCTTCTTAATCTTCTCGCTGCAGGTAAGGGGTTGCGGGGCGTAGAGCTGGAGCTGTGGATGAGATGGGAAACTGCACATGCTTGACGACTCTAGGAAAAGCTTGCCTCGCCAAGAAAGCCGTAGAAAGCAGGACAGTACTGACAGGCAAGGGGCGAGGGAGTTGTGCACCTGTTGGAAGACTGAGGCTGAAAACTTCAGCTAAAATCAGCTCTTGATTTGTCCTTACCTGGTACGAATAATAGTGAACATTTTCAGTATGAACACGGGTTTCCTTCCCCTTCTTTTCCCTTCCATCTAGACTCCCTGATCCTGTTTCTAGGCTATGCACTTGACAGCCAATTTTTCAGGAGACAGACAAGACATCCTGCTGGATGTAACCTTTTCTACTGCAGCGGCTTCATCCAAAAGGTCCCTGGGTTTAGCGAGAGCTCACAGAGATGCATTGGTTGCAACCTGAAGGACCACATCTCCGCCCAAAAGATCGAAATACATGGTTCACGTTAATGATGCCGCTCCAGGCTCCTTTGGCCCCTGCTCTTGTCACTCGAATTTTCTAAGCCAATAAGAGGAAGGAAAGGTTTAAAATAGGACCCCCTCTTCTATTTCAGCATCATGGTCAGCGTCCGAGGGCACCAAACAAAAACCCAATCACAGTTTTAAGGCTGACAACCCCAGGGTAGGCACTGTCCCTGGGACAGATTTGGTGAGGACTAGCCAAGAGTGACAGTGAGACTGTGCCCCAATATATATTTGATATCAGAAGCAATATTAGATTTCGAATGGGAGCAAACCTTAGGGAGTACCTGGGGAATTTTATATGCAATGTCACTACAGATCCTGCTTTTTGGATACATGCAGCCTCTGTGCAATGCGAGGACTTGCTGGACTGAATCCTTTATCATTTTTACACACACATGTACCAAAATAGAATATGGCAGAGATTTTAGGCACCCTACTGCGACAGCAGTTGTCCGTGCAGTAGCCCTGTAGCAAGCAAAGACTAGATATTTTACCGGAATTTGCTTGTCACCCAGTCACACATATTCATTCATTCCTTCAGCTAACATTTATTGAGCATGTATTATGTCCCAGGGGTAATGAATAAAAATAATGGCTGCAAAATTACAATTCTTGTGGTCTCTTTTAAAAAGGAGTGGGTGAGTTCCTTTCCTATGTGTATGAGAGTGAAATATGGTACTTTCTTATTTCTAGCCCATGCCATTTTAATGGATTCTGAACCTCTTGAACAAGTCATGCACAGGAATATTAAGTCTATAATTAAGTATACATGTTAATTTTTATAATTATGATGTTTTATTGTGAAATTTTCAATAGTTCTTTGGCACCTTTTGAAAACTAGCAAATAGCTATGACTGGTCATTAAATTATTTGCAAACAGCTGAAATGCATCATTTTATTACCGTATATAGTTCTTTAAATGTTGAAACTTGGGATGAAAAAATACACATTGGGTTGAATTTTATTTACATTATTATGTTTAATGCTAACACTAAACATCCATTGCCAAAAAAAATTTTTTAAAGCCTCAATTCTTACAAGTTTAGGAATGATTTAGCTGATCTATCAAAAATGTCAGTGTAGTTATTTTTTAAAAACTAATGTATAAGAAATTCTAAAGATTCCATTTAATATATCTTGAGTAATTATAGCTGAAAAGTTATAAATAAACTTAAAACTAAGCAGGTGGAAAACATTTCTAAATTTATTGTAGCTGAACATTTGGAATGAGGAAAATAGAGGGCTTTTGTTCATCAAAGGAGAAACCTAGAAGTCTGTAGCCCTAGATTTTACCTGGAGCTCTGCCAAAGTGTGTATTACCAAAGACAAACCAATCCGTCTCTACTTTGACTTATTAATTTGAAAAAATATTCATCCAATTTGAAATTAATAAGGCAATGCATTGATGGGCTATCATTTTCAGATTTCAATTGCAAGATGCTATATGGAAATTAATTATATTCATATTTAATATCGTGCTTTTAATAGGTGTTTTTTCACAGCAGATTGCAAGCTTAATATTGTGGTTGTCTTGCCAGTTTCATTTTGAATGCATTTTAATTTTAAACAGCAATTTGTGGGTCACAAGCTGTCATCAGATTAAAATTCATCACAGTTATTTAATAACATTGTTAGGACTTTTCTTTGGAACTGAAACAAACACACACTTTTTGATCTAAGCTCCTGTAGATTTGGGTAATAAGAAAGTGAGTGCGTGGGAGGACAAAGATCAAGAAGTCATTGATTTTGCTACTTGTTGAATGTCTGAGTTTGTTTCTTTCCTCTCAGGTTAGAAGTGGGTTTCATAAAGAAGTGAAATGAATTCTATCTTTGTAGTCCTCTTTACTAAAAAGATAATTGATCCATTTTGGTTATGCTCAGGGTGCCAGCAACTACTTTACTTTGGTGGAACTGATGACATGTTAGAACCCTTTAGGGATGGAAGAAATTGGATGACAGGACGTAAGTGCTCTTCTCAGTTATGCTAGGAACTGTTGCCTTCCCTATGATTGTTCCCCTAATGATAGGATAGCAAATTGTTTTCAACTTGAGTGCCATCTCCAATTATTTGGCTGTGATTGCCTGAGACACTGTGCAAAATAATAAACAAACAAGCAAGCAAGTAAATAAATAAATAAATAAATAAATAAATAAATAAATAAATAAATAGTGACCAACCCTGACCAACGGGCTCGATAGGGAAAAGTACTGTGGTCTGTTTGTAATGTCTATGAGAACAAAAAGAGGAAGAGAGGTACAATATTGTGTAATTAACATCTCAAGGTAAAATAATCCTAATAAATTACTGCGCATAGAGCTGGTTCAATAACCTGGACTCAACTCTTTCCACGGCAGCTCATTTTCATAGATCTCCCTAACAAGGAAAGTTGTAGTTGTTGCCCATCCAACTGCTTACTATTCCAGTAAGAAAACTAAGTTCCAGTAAATGGTAGACAGTATTTATTTTTTTTTAAAGATTTTATTTATTTATTTGAGAGAGAGAGAATAAGAGACATAGAGCATGAGAGGGGGGAGGGTCAGAGGGAGAAGCAGACTCCCCGCCAAGCAGGGAGCCCGATGCGGGACTCGATCCCGGGACTCCAGGATCATGACCTGAGTCGAAGGCAGTCACTTAACCGACTGAGCCACCCAGGCGCCTGACAGTATTTACTTTAAATAGTAAAGAGCCAGTTAACAGCCTAGTCAGGATGAAAGCCAGTGTTTTCAGACCTGTGACTGAATACTGTATGAAATCGTATACTGGTTCTAATAGGAAAGACCACCATAGAGTTAGTGGTGTCAAATCCTTTTTACCTAGCTGTCCTCATTCTTTTTTTTTTTTTTTAAGATTTATTTATTTGAGAGAGAAGGGGGAGGGGAGTGGGGCAGAGGGAGAAAGAGAGAGAGAGAATCCCCAGCAGACTCCCCACTGAGTGCAGAGCCCCATGCAGGGCTTAATCCCATGATCTCGGGGTCATGGGATCATGGGGTCATGGCTTGAGCCAGAACCATGAGTCGGGTGCTTAACCCACTGAGCCACCCATGTGCCCCTAGCTGTCCTCATTCTTCATTCCTTCTTTGAACCAATGTAATAGGTAAACTGCAGTTGAAAAGACTACTTCAGGAATATCCAAGAAGGTGTGCCCCAATAATATTGATGGTACCCCAAGATCCACAGATAACTTCTTTCCTTCAGTGTTTTTTCTCTTTCTTTACCCAAAGAACTATATTCTGTTTCAGGCGATGATATCTATTAGGTAGTATTTTAGTTGCAAAGGAGTGAAGGTCTTGGAATATCTTAAAAATTCGCATGTAAAAGCTTTATTTTTTTCTGATGCATGGTTTGCTAAAACACACAGAACGTGATTTCAGTGCATTACTCTCTCCCTAAGCTCTGTAGAAGGTTTTTTCCAATTTTCACGTTGTTCTTCCCATTGAGCATTCTGGATGGCACAAAGACTGCCTTTGATGTGTCTTCTGCAGATGCACCTTCTCTGTCAGAGAAGTGCATAGTCAAGTTTTCTAGTCTTTGACAAAGAAAGATTCCTACGGTGAGACCAAGAGGATCAGGGAAGTCATTTGCAGGAGCACCACCCTCAAACGAAAGGGTAGACTGATAGGTAGGAAAATAATGTTATTCTTGAAGATTCTAAGATGTCTTCTCTCAGGAAACTCCAGAATCCATTTTTCCTGTTCAGAATCACTCAACGTAATCCTTACGCTAGCCCAGGTTCTACTGTATTCTCCTCCCCCATTATCTCTCTGATATCATCTCTCACTACTTTCTTCTTTTTTGTCTCTCTCCAACCGCTTTGGTCTCCTTGCTGTTCTAAAAAGATTCCAGGGACTTGCCCCCTTCATATGTTTTGCTTTTTTCTTTGCCTGAAACAGTCTTTCCCCAGTATCTCCATGGCTTAATCCCTTAATTTTAGGCCTTTACTCAAATATTACTTTCTCAGGGAGGCCCTCACTGACTATCCTATTTAATATTTCATCTTTTCCCCCCCAAAAACGTCAGTATCCCTTCCCTGCTTTACTTTTTTCCCAGAGGTTTTTCACCAACTTCCATATCATATATTTAACTTATTTGCTTTGTGTATTGTGGTTCCTCCATTCCCCATTGAAATGAAAGCTCCTTGAAGGCACAGATATTTGTCTGTTTTGTTTACTGCTGTATCTATTGCAGATCTTGCCCAGCCTAGCACCTGGGGCAATGCCGGGTATAAAAGCTACTAAAGATTTAAAAAGATATATTGAATAAATAGAAACAACACAGTGATATTTCTGGTCTCTCCCCTTTCGCATTTAATTTCTTCTTGGCACCCATGCAAGACACACTTAGTCAACTTAGCCACTTCTAGAATGGACTTCAACAGAGCTCATTTATCTAAAACTCAGGTTCCTCCCTAGGAGCTCACATGCCCAGGGAATATACTGTCTCAAACAGACTTTTCTACCATTGTGAACTTAAGGACAACATGGGACGGGCTTGCAAGAGACCAG